AGTCCCTACCCTTGAAGAGTTAAGTCTTAACCATTTAGTCAACCAATCTAGATAATCCCAATGGGAAGAAATACCTTTTTCCTTCAAGGTAGGACACCTTTGCTTATTGTTTTACTGTGGATCCTGAATGATCTGGCTGTCAACTCCCTACTTTTCAGTGGACCTGGATAGAATACTGGACCTGAAGTCAGGAAGACTGGAGTCCAAATCCAGCCCCAGACACTTACTAGCTGTGTGTCCTTGAACAAGTCACTTAACTTCTGTCTACCTTCTTCATCTGTAAAATAGGGCTAATAACAGCACCTACTTCCTTGGGGTTGTCATGAGAATAAAATGAGATAATATTTGTAAAGTGCTTAATAAATGCTAGCTATTATTATTACTATTTCTACCAATGATAATGGCAATACATAGCATGCTTTTTTGTTAAGTTGCATTGAATTGAGGAGGAAGAAGGGAGACCTCGTATGTGGTTACTGATGTGGGAGATGAGTTGTTCAATGGTCTTTCTCCTCCAAGGGGATTCTTCCATCTGACTGCATAAGAAGTCACTTCTTGCAGGCTCCATACTTTCCTTCCTGAGCCATCAGTGGGAAATAATCTTTGAACAGGACTGGCTTTTTAGCTTTCTATCAGTGCTCGGAGGCATGGATTATCGAACAACCCCATGTACTTCTTGAGACGGCAAACCTTGGACTTCAAACTCCTTGCTGTGTGACCCTTTGTAAGTCTTTTAACCTCTCCCAGCCTTGGTTTCCCTATCTGTGCAACAGAGTACTTTTCTCACAGGGGTTTTATCAGGATCAAATGAGATAATCTATGTATAGCTCTTTGCGAACATGAAAGTGTTATATAAATGTTAGGTATTCTGCAAAGTGCTTTGCAAACTTCAAAGTGCTTCATAAATGTCAGTTATCATTATCACCTTCTTTGGAAGTACTCTTTCCACAGACCTCAAAGCACTCAGTAGAAAAGAGCTCCTTTTTTTTCCAAGGAGAAGGATGGAATATCTTTCAGAAGGGAAAACTGAAGCCAGAGTGCTTGATGAGAGGTGGAATAGAGGATCTCTAAACCATGAAAGTCTCTCTTTGCTCTAAATCCCATCATCTATGAGTGACTGTCTCCTTTATTCCTGCACCCCTCCCCATAATACAATAATGAATTATTCTACAAGTCAGTGACAGAGCTGAGAAGAGAATCCAGGAGTCCTAGCTCCTAGTTGCCAGATGACTCTACTTCTTCAATGACTACTACAGAATCTGAGGTCCCTTCACATTTTTCTTTACAACGCACTATTTGGGCTTTCTACCATACAGGTATGGTGACTGGGTCAGTGGCTGTTAGAGTGTAATGTCTGCTAAGCCCAGAGACCAAATTAAATGGAATGGCTAACACCTGAGATATTTTATTATCGACACTGCTAGATGTGGGGGAAAGTTTTAAGAGTTTGTAAATTCTCCATTCATGCTGTTTCATAACCAGCTGGATTGAAATAGTTTATTAATCTAGTTACTGAAAGCCATGTCTACACAGGCAGAGTGAAGTTGGGAGTTCACCGTGGGACCTAGATCATCCAGGCCTGTATTTTATATAGCAAATCCTGGGTCCAGCCATCCGAGTTAGTGTTTAAAGGTTTAAGGAGGAAAAAGACAAATTACAGCCTAGCATTGGGGAATGGAGGGTTGGGAGGAATGGACGGATGGAGGAGGGGAGAATGCTAGAGTCTAAGACTACGAAGCTTCACATCGATTGATGAACATGTTAGATTCAGATAGGGAAACAGACCAGCATCCAATTGGCTTTGTTGAGCTAATTCACTAATGGAACCCAGCTCCCATCTTTGCATATCTTATAACACTTATTGTCTGTGCCATAGCTTTAGGCATACATCTTCCACTATTTTTCATTTGCAAATTAACCTCTTCTCTTCAAAATTTAATCTCATTAAAGGGCATGAGCTGTGTTTTATATTCCTCTTGTGATCCATTCTCTTCTGCCTCAACCCCTCCATCCCTAGGGATGTTTTGTCATTATTCAGCCCTATGATTCCATTGGTGTAGAACTTGTGCACTTATAGACTTGCCTGGGTGCCCTAAGAGGGTAAATGTCTCACCCATGGGGACACAGCTTACTTGATGTGTCAAGGATAGGGCTCGAACTCAGGTCTTCCTAACTTCAAAGCCAGTCCCTGTAGCCACAACACCATTCTGCCCTTTCATAGGAACTTAGTAAGCTCAAAAAAACTTCTATTAAAGAAATGTCTTGAGCCCACTCTCTTATATGTCCTTGACCAAAGCCCATCTAAGGGCAAATAGTCCATCTAAGTCCATCTAAGCTTGTTGTCCAGAGGGATTCCAGGAAGTAGGATTGCCTGGGTCCCAGAAATGGAATTTCTTCTAGTAAGGGGTGAGTAGAAATCCCGATAAAGAATTTAACTTCCTTTCCAATTCTGACTCCCCTCCTGAACTTTGCTATTACTGTCAAGTAATAACTGCCCACCATCCTACTGGTTACCCAGACTCACAGTCTAGATGTTATCCTAAATTCCTCACTCTCTCATCCTACCACGTCTAATCTGTTGCCAAGTGCTTCCTATCTATTCTAGCTTAACATCTCTGGGTTATGCTCCCTTTCTGTCTCCTCTGACATTGCCACTGCCCTGATACAGGCACCTTACACCTGGACTATTGCATTACCCTCCTAGTTAGTCTCCCAGACTCAGATCTCTCCCCACTCCAATCCTTCCTTTGCTCAGCTGTCAAATTGTTCTTTCTAAAGTGCAAATCTGACCATATCACCCCTATTCAATTAACTCCACTGCCTCCCTTTTGCCTACAGGATCAAATACAAAATATTTTACATTCAAAGCCCTTCAAAATCTGGCCCTCTCTTACCTTCCAGTCTTCTTACACCTTATTCTCCACTCCCAGTGACACTGACTTCCTTGTTATTCCTTGCACAAGACTATCTAAGGACTCTGGGCATTTTCATTGACTGCCTCCCATGCCTGGAATACTCGATCTCCTCATCTATGCTCATTCCTGGTCTCCCCTTAATCCTGGTGCCTTCCCTCTGTTCATCATCTCCAACTTATCCTATCTATATCTTGTTTGTACATCATTGTGTTTTTCCTGTTGTCTTCCCCGTTAGACTGTGAGCTTTTTGTGAACAGGGACTGTCTTTTGTCTTTCTTTGTACCCCCAGCACTCAGCGCAGCGCCTGATACATACTGTGTGCTTAATAAATACTTATTGACTAACTGTCTGACTCTCAGTCAGGTAAACCTCAGTTCCAAGTGCTAGTGTGGGTCTGCCATCCTGTGATTAGGGGCTCTAATGGTGGTAATTCCTCTAACCTGGTGTTTAAACCAATAAGGCTTCAGAGAAGTCATGGTATGTTTAATAATGGCTTAATGACTCAGTTTGAGGTTAGGGGTTTCTGGTTCCTGTTTGGCCTTGATTTACAGCCCAGCCCCGGCTGAGGACAGCCAAGAAGCCTTCTTTAAACCTATAGAGGAGGAGGGAGGTATTCACACCAGGACAAGGCTTGAATGGGAATATGAATAAGAAATGAGAATCAAATTGAAATACAAACAATTCCTTCCTTTCCCCATCACTTTCCTTTAGTTTCTGGAGGCCTTGAAACTAGAATAATTTAATTCTAAGCCAGGTCTCAGGAAGGTGGTTGGAGCAATAAAGTCATTGCCCCCCAGGAGGCTTCTGCCCAGTTGTCCTAGTTATTCATAATTCTTTTTTCCTCTGAAGAACCAAAACTGTCTGATTCTCCCACTTAATTCTTACTATGAACACAAAGCTGTCAAGGGAAGAGCTTGCTTTGTTAGATCACATTTACCCTTAACATTCTTCCAAAAGCAGAGGGAGATGCCTGGTGTAGGCAGACGGGTCTCAGCATTCTGCAAGGGCCTCTTCTGTAGGGAAAGGCAAGCATTCCAGACCTTAGGGGCCCCATGGTGAGGAGCCTTGCTCCCCTAGCAAAGAAATTACTGAGCTTGCCTTCTCCACCTGTCCCAAGGTAAACAGGAAAAATCGGGATTCTCCAATCCAGTGCTCTTTCCACAGCCACAGCTATCATCATTACAATCCATATGTAGTCCGGAAGAAGAGTTATTCCAAGAATACCCTCAGTTCTTCCACAGGGAAGCAAACGATCTCAAAGCGTAGGAGACCTTTGCGTTAGGCTGTGGATACTACTTTAGTCCGAGGCTTGGGAGCTGCCTCCCTTAGCTGACCCCATCAGAGGAAAGTAAGTACTGAGCGCCACGTCTTGCCCTTGCACGGTATCGCTCACTTGGCTAGGGGTCTGTGTGTTTGTGGCGGTGAAGGACCGACTGGACTCTTCTGCTTTCCCTGTGTCTGGTCTCTGAGTGTCCCTTAGACCTCAAGGCCAGTTCTTCAGGAAGACGCGGCTTGTAGCAAGCAGTAAGCAAAGTTCTCCCGTGGTGCCGAGGGCTAGGACTGGAAGGTTGTCCTGCCACAGGCGCTGACCAGGCAAAGACTAGGGACGGGGATGGGGCAGAAGAAAAAAGGACCCCTCCCAGACCAAGCGCAAACTCTGTACCTCCCACCCCCACCTCCCATACACAGTTCCCCATTCTGTCTAGGACCTGGGTAAGGGTCTTTCCGTCCTTCCCACACTCCGCCCACAAGCTGCGCTCACCTCGGAAAACTGGGCGCAGCGTAGCGAGGGAAGGATGTATCCGGCCTCCGAGGGGTTAATCCCCGCGCGGGGCACCGCCGCACGTGACGTGGATAGTTAGTGGATTAAGTCAGGAGGAACACTACCCCCCTCCCCCTTGCCCCCCGCCCCCCGCGGCGCGCGCCGCTCTCGGGGGCTCCGGGGCCCAGTTCCCAGGTCCCTCCCCCCTTGGCGCGCACATCCCGCTAGGGCAGCGCGAGCCCCAGAGCCGGCCGGCCCGGCAGCCTGTACCGTGTAAGTGTAAAGGCTCCCCGGCCCCAGGCCCGGGACCCCAGGAGGCCTGCATGGAGCCTGAGCGCTGCCTGCCTTATGGCGCGGGTCCCGGTGCTTACCCGGCGGCTGCCGACAAGCCCCCGGGACCTCCGCCTCACCTGCACCCAGCTCCGCTCCCCAGGCCGCGGATTGCTCGCTACGCGACGGCCTGTGGAGCCCTGGAGCCCTATTCCCCGGAGGCGGCCAAGCCCCCCGCCAAGTACCTGCAGGAACCCGGGCCTGGGCCAGCCCTCAACGGCAGGCGCTTTTACGAGATCCCTGCGGAAGGTAATGTGGGTGGGAGGCTACGGTCGGGCAGGGGACAGACAGACACTAACTCGGGGACGCCGGGCTAAGTTCTGCGGACTCTCGGCGCAGCGAAGAAGCTAAGGACCCGGGGTCCCTCTCTCCTCCCCTCTCCGGGGGCCTCCCTTCCTTTTCTCTCTTTCCTAAACCCTGGAAAGCGCACATTTTCTCCCCCTTCAGGTTCCGATTCAGAGCCATCCAAAGGGTTTTGGTCCGATCCCCTTGCCCTCAACAGCCGTTGAAACCTGGATCCGGGAAAGCCGGGTCAGGGAACTGAAATCTGCTTCCACGGGTCTGGTGGGGAGTTTTGAGGACGAAGAGGGGGAAATTCTGGTGTGATTGCAGGCGAAAGCCACCCGAGGTATGACTGTGGTCGGCCGATTGAGTGAGACAAAGTAGGTTGGTGGGAGTGGCGTGTAAGCCGCCCAAGATCACTGGACTTAGCTGGTCCTGACCATTCGAGACCAGCCCGGCCCGGTGCGAGATGACCCGCGCCTAAGGGAGCAAGTCTTTTGTGTCTGGGCCCCTCCTCTGGCTCTCAGCTCCAGTTTTCCCCCACAAGCCTTCTCTCAGCCCGGGCGCGGGCCAGTCCTCAGGTCCCTTCTCCACTCTGCCTTAATTTCTTTCCCCCTGGCCAGCATCAGAAGGGCCTGGCTCTCCAGACAAGCAGCGACGTGAACTTGGCTCCTAGGGGCAGTTGTGCAGCGGGTTATTCGGTTATTTTCGCCCACAACAATGTTTTGTTTTGTTTTGTTTTGTTTTGTTTTGTTTTTACTGTTCAAACACTGACTCGCCGAGGTTAGAGTTACTGTCTTGCTGCTTCTACTTTCAACTCTATCTAGGTCCAGGGCACAGGCTTCCCGGATTGGATAGAGCGATCCCAGTTCCTCCTCGGGATATGCCAGGGCCTGGGTTCTTGGGTTGCTTCTCGGTTAACCGCTTGTCCTTTCTCGGGAACTTGACTGTTTCTTTCGGCCAAGGAGGCTATCGATCCCAGGCTAAGGAGTCACGTCTCAGGAAAGCAGAGAGAGGCACAGAGCAGCCAAAGACCCGCCGGTGTCTCTGGACCCGGAGCTTCCAGTTCTGTGACCTCTGGGTCCTGGGAAATCTGACCCAAAAAAACCCTTTGGCTGAGTCATGAGCGCCCGGAAGGCCCAGGCTTTCACTGTACTCTCTTTTGGCTCCCGTCTGAACGTTAGAACTCCGCACACCCTCTTGGATAACTCCTGTCTGTCTTTTGCATTTTGCTGAAAGAGTCAAAGAGGCCTGGATCTCAAAACTGACTGCTGCCAACCACCAGAGAGGACACGGCCCTCGGAAAGCGTCCTCCTCCTCTAGAACCTGTGGCCCAACCAGTTTGAGGTGCCAAAGAGCCTCGAGCTAGCTCCCAGGCCTACGCAGGTCCCCAGCCGACCGCCATCCAAACCAAGACAACCTCCTCGCCTTAGTCTTTGCTTCGTTTCCTCATCCTGGGCTAGGCGCAGAAGAGAAGAAAGAGGCTGGGGGTCAACTGTAGGAAATGATTGACTCCTCGGTCCTTCATGTCTGCTTTCTGTGAAAGTGGCTCTCCTGATAAAAACCACAGTTGGGACTTAATGAGAAGCAGTTGGCCTGGCTCCTCAGATCCCCGCTCAGACTGAGGGGCCCGCCTGCTTTGTAAACAGTAGAAGTGGAACAGGTACAGCTACCCGCACCGGAGTGGTAAAACCTGGCATAGTACAGCCAAGTGAGGGGTGGGAGGCGGCAGACCCAGGAATTCCCCTTCCCCACCCCCCCCCACCCCCGCTTTCCACCTTTCCCTGCCCTCAATAAGGCTGTCTGCTTGGTTTCCCGGATCGGCGTTCCTGCGATGTTCCGGCCTGGGGAGCCCCTACGCTGTACGTAGGTGATGCAGGGCCAATGAAGGACCAGAGAAATGAGGGAACAATACGGCGACCACGGGCCACACCTGAGCGTGTCAAAGACCTGAGCTCCAGGAGCAGCAGGAAAAGTGGGGGGAGAACCAATAGAAAACCAGCGTTGAACAGTGAGGATGGGAGGAGATTGGGAGAGTTTACGAAAAAATGAAAATTAAAGCAAGCAAAAGAAAGATAGCGCGAGTGCCGAGAATGTCGGCAGAAAAAAAAATTAAAGGAAGACACGAAAGTAGGAAGAGGAAACGAAAGGAAAGAAAAAGAGAAAAGAAAATTAAAAGAAAACAGCTGGGACGGAATAAAAAGTAACAAAGCGGGAGAGGAAAGAAAAAAAGAAACAGGAAAAAGAACGAAAGAAACGGGAAGAAGAGAGGAGGAGACAGAAAGAGAACGAAAGAAAGATGAAAAAGAGGGTGCGGGAAGGTGGAAGGAAAAGAAAAACGAAAAGAAGAAAGAAAAAAGAATCAAAGAAAGAAAACAGCTGGCTGGCCTTAACGCTTGAGGAAGAGAGCAAAAAAGAAACACTTCAAAGAAAGAAGGAAAAGAGAAGGTTCGAAAAGTGGAAATAATGGGGAAGCCGTGGATGGCCTCGGACAATCCCGAGACGCCGCCGAAGCGGACGCCTTTTCCAAGACCGAAAGGGATCTGACCTCCCAGCTGTTTGGATGCAGACCCGCCGGAGCCGAGAGCCCGCGGAAAGGGAGCCAAAGGGGTCCCTAGTTCGGATGCCTGGTGGACAGCTCGAGTCTGCGGCTGCGGCTGTTTTGGAGTCCCAGGCAAGTCGCCGGGTGGTGGCGAGCGATGCGGGAGGCCACCTCATTTCCCGAGCCTTTTAATAACGGGCTCGAAAGATTTCCAGTTCAGACCAGTAATTGTGCAGCTGCTCCCCATCTGTCCCGATTGGTGTCTTTACAAATAAAGTTAATTTCTCCAGAAAAATGCCTCGGCTACACTCTGCCTCCGCCCGCTTCCGCTGCAGCTTCCTCCTGCTTCTCGCGTTCCCGGGTGGGTTTTCCCCTTCTTTCTCCTCTCCTTCCTGGTCCGGCCCCGGGTCCTACTTCTGGCTCCCCTTCCCTCCCCTGGGTCTCAGATCCTGTCTGTCTGGAGCAGGAGGGTGAAGGAACTTTGGCTTCTTTGTGGGACTAGTTTGGGAACCCAAAGGGCGTGAAGCCGGCGTAGGGACCTTGGTCCCTTCTGCGGCCCGACCCGGCCCGCCCAAAATACTGTGAACTGGATTCATAGCTTGGGGCCCAGGGCTCAGCTTCCAAGACTCGGCGCTGGAATCGAATCCAGAGCTGAAAGAAGCATTCCGGACCAAACAAGACTATTCTGTAAACACTCAATTTGTTCTTATTCCCAGCCCGGGCCTCGGCTCCCCGCGGGTGGTTAAAAGGCCGGCCCAACTCTGGGGATTAGAGTCATCCCTGTGAGCAAGGAACACGGGCCTCCCTCTAAAGCAAGAGTTCTAATCTTTTCTTTGTCGTAGACCACCCACCCCACTCCCTTCTCAGAATATAATTTTAAAATAATTTAAGGAAATGCTAAATTCTGCTTAGAGGTTAGTGAAAATAAAGATCTATTTTTTTTTTTCTCCATCCAAGTTGATGGAGCCCCTGAAATCTGTCCACCGACACTGCTCTATGAAGACCTCCATTCGGCCTTCCTCCCTCGCTCGGCCCCCACCGAACGTCTTCCCTTCCAGATTGCTTCTTTCTAGCCCGGAATCTAGGCCCAGGCCACCTCCTTCAAGCGCTCCTGCACCCTTCTCCTTCGAAACCCGCGAGATCGTAGCAACCAGCTGGGATTAGACGAAAAGAGATTTGCAGGACAAACCACCGAGAAGAGAGAGCCCCCTTGACCGGGGCAGCACAAGGCGTTGGGGGGTGGGGCGGGGAGATGGAGGGGAGAGAGAGAGAGAATGTCCGGGCCCCTACGAGGGATTAAAGACAACGTCCCAGAATTACGTCCTCTCTTTCCCAAACCTACTCCATAGGACACCAACACAGTTCACACCCATACCCTCTTCCCACAGCTCACATCCCGCGAGTTATGTTCGCTATCCTTCCTGAGCACTCCGTCCAGAGCCAGTTCTGAACTCAATGCCCTGTCGGGCTTCCCCTCTAGCCCTGCACGTCCCGTCTGGCTTCCTTAATGGACCAACGCTGACGCTATGCTCCTCTCCTCGATCCCTGTGCCTCTCCCCACTGCTCCTGCATCCCCGTATTCCTCTCCCCGCCGTGCAGGACGTGCTCACACTCCTCCCGCTTTTTCCCTTTTCCAACCTCTTCTAGTTCTTTTCCGCGTGCTCTCTGGGTTAGTGTGAGTTTGGAAGCGTGCAGCTAGTCCAGAAGGTGGTGGGGAAGAGATTCACGCGAGTCAAAGAATCATAGGTCTTCAGGAGACTTCATAGGTAATCTAATTAACTGGTACCTGACACACAAACATCCCCTCTGCATCCTACCGGAAAGTGGCCACCCAGCTTTTGCTTCAGCATCTCCGGTGAGAGGGGCCCCACTATCTCTCCTACGAGGATCATTCCACTTTCGAATAGCGTTCCTAGTTAAGACGTTTACCCCCTCATAGCAAGGCTGTGTTTGCGGCTTTGCAACATCCACCTTCGAAACCGTGCTCACCAGCTGCTGAACAGGAAGGGAAATGTATTAAAGTGCCTTCTGAAAAGACAGACAGGTCTGGAGCTGATGTTGCGGGAAAACTGGCGCACAAAGGGAGGTGAGAAGGTTTAACCTTCAGGTGGAGCACCGCAGAATTGTAGGGTGGGTACAGTACAGAATTCAGATATTGTGGCTATGTCCACATCACCCCAGGGGTTTCTTCATGTCCTCTCTTCCCTCCCCCCCCTTCCCCGCCACCTTTTCACGCTCACACAATTTCCATTTCCATTATAAGATATAAAGTTGTCTATTTTTTTCTTAAGCATGGACTTGGATTACTAATTTATCTTTTACATGTTCTTTTATTTCTTGCTTTCTCTGGCACCTTTTTCTCTCACTCCAGCCCTTTACATCAGAGATTTTTTTCCCCTCCATCCCCCACTGACTGCTCCCAGGGAGACAATTTCCTTGGATGTCCTGCATTACCAGAGGAAAACCCTTGACAATTGCTACCCTGAGTCCTCCTTTCTACCCACATCCCTATGGAGGAGCTGAAAGGGGGTCCCAGAGATGGCTCCACCTTCTCCTTTTTCAAAGATCTCATTTTCATCAAGACTAGCTGGGGGAGGGGGAGGGGATGCAACGAATCTATAGCTTTGCTGTCTGATCCCACCTAGGACAGCTAAAGTGAACTGCGTTGTATTTGAGCCATCCCACAGTGGAATTCCAGAAAGTCCAAAGGAGAACGTATTGGGTGGGAGACGAGGGGTGGAGGAACGGGGCGCGGCGGGGGGGGGGGGGAGGGGAGGTTTGATCCCTTGAGAAGGGCTTTTAGAAAGGATAAGCACCTGAGGCAGCAACAACCTGGGGTGGACAAAGTACTATCCCTGGGACCTCTATTTCAAGGTCAAATACCCTTTCTTTCCCCAACCTCCTCCCTCCCCCAATGGTGAAGTACATTTCACAATGCTGCAGACTTTCCCTGGGATCCATCTGGAGCTGGGGGCCCTAATGGATCTCCAAAACAGACACTCTCCTTGAACCAGAGTCCCCTATCCTCCCACTAAACCCTATTTCTCAAGCGGCTCTCCAAACAATGATGTCTGCATGTTTTTGTCAGGAATTGGAGACTACTTCCAAGCCATTATCCTTCTGCACATATTCCCTGGCTGTTAATGAAGTTCTTATGCCTGGGAGATTTTGTTGTCCTGCTGATCAAGACCTCCCCAAAGTAGGTTTCAACGATTGCCCTTAGACAGACCTCTAGACTGAGATTTGATGCCTTCAGGCTAGTGCTGCTCCCTCTACCTTCCCCACTCTCCCCACCCCCACCCCAAAATCACACTATACAAGTCACTCTCCAGTTCACCAGGCAGATTCCTGCTTGCCTCTAAGAAAGATTTTGCCTGCTAATGTTAAGGAAAACATGCCCAATTTGCCTATATCTTTTATCAGGGAAGGAGGGCACAAGAAACTAAGAAATGGAAAATCTAGTAATTCTGCCTAGAGCCTTCCCTAGCTTCCCTCGCCTGAAGCTGGCCATGTGATCTCGCCACCAAAATTCCCAGGAAACTGTGTCTCTCCACTGGACCTCAGAGGGGGGTGTGGGTGGGAATGGGGCCAGTAACAGGGAAGGGGGATGTGAGAGTAAGAGAGTGGTACATTATTCCTATAGCTCTCTTGGGATAGCCAGCAGAAGAATTTTACGGGGGCACTTCTGGGTGTCTGTTGTCCACGAGAGTGGGTAGAGGAGATAGCTGTGACCTATTTTTCACCATTCTCAGGACATGGTGGATCTCCACCAGTGCTTTCTGAGAGAGAGCGTTAACATGCCAGAGTGGAGTTGCTGGAAACAGTTCCCAGTCCACAAATTGATTACCCCTTGCTCATTAATTTTTGGGTTGTGGGGGCGAGGCTGGACCAATTAAGGAAGGAGACAGGGGGGAGAAGGGAATGAGACTGGAAAGGGAAGAGATTTTGCCATCATTCCTCAGTTTGTCTCCAACTGTACTCCTTTTCTGTTCCATTCATGCCCTTACTGTAGGTCTTATCATGACCTCCAACACTTCCCGTATGCTCTTGACTTCCTTTCTATGATGGGCCCATCAGGAGATCTGTAGTCATTTGGAGACCCTGCAGGGCCTGGAATCCTCTTCATTGTCTCTCTTCCTCAGAGGCCCCCATTTCTGTTGAGCTGGATTGTAGTGAAGAGAACCTCAGTTTTTAATTTAGTCAACAAGGCCAAGATCCAGGGATTAGGATGGGGATAGGGACAGGGAGAGACATACTATTGGAAACCTCATTCCTTGAGGCAGAATCTTCTGGTTTAGCTTGAGATGTTGGGTAAATTCTGAGAGCTTGGGGTTTGGAGTTTGTCCCTAAGGTTTTTTGGCGTACCTGGTCTTAATGAGGAATGGATGCCAGGGGATGGGAAATAAGATTGCTTGAAATCAGGATTTGGCTTCTAGCCAAAGAGAGGGAGGGTAGGGGGACTCATCAACCAACCCTTTTGCTCACCAACCTCCTGCCCAAGGTTGCCACTCCCGGACATAAGCACCAAGCCTAGCACCCCGTGAGAGACATCCGCATGGAACATTTCCCTGAGGCACATTTCAGTGCCTTCCCCCGGACTTCCAGACCTTCTAGGACCTGTTCTATGTTCTGTTTTATTCTTGCCTAGACCACAGAGCACATGCTCCCCCAGGGCCCCCTCCACAGGCAGCCCTCCCGAATGCCAGGCGCCTACTGAGAAGGGAGGGGGAGGTGGAGCCAGGAGACGTCAATCTCCCCCCACCCCATTCCACCCACAAAACCCCAGAGTCCCCTTTCCATCCCTCCCTTTGTGTTTTCCATTACAGCAGAAGAGAAGGTCTCCAAAGTCACCAGCTTCCCCCCACTGCCTCTAGACTGTCCAGGAGGCCCCTTGGAGGGACCCCCAGAGCTGAGAGGCTCCCCAACACCCTGTCTGGCCAGGCTCCGGGGACCTCTGAGCCCCCAGCTCACTGACTCAATGGAACTGCCCAAAAGCAAAAACAAGAAACGGAGGAACCGAACTACGTTCAGCACCTTCCAGCTGGAAGAGCTGGAGAAGGTTTTCCAGAAGACCCATTACCCTGATGTGTATGCAAGAGAACAGCTGGCCCTTAGGACTGACCTGACTGAGGCCCGGGTACAGGTGAGGGGGATCCCTAGAGGCTCAAGTCACCTCTCTTCCTGTCACTGCCCACTTGGAATTCCTTATCTTTACAGAGCAGGAGATGGGAGACACAGAGGGGTGGAGATGGAGGGTGGGCCAAAGGGAGACCATTCAGGTATGGGTGACATCCCTGGGACATGGCTATCAAAGAAAACCCTTCCAGGGGATTTCTCTGACTGGGTTTTGGTGACATACTCAAGTCCCTAAACTGAGAAGCTTGGCTGTTTGGTGGAGCAGAAGGAGGGAGTGATAGAAGAGGGGTTCATGTCCCACCAGAGAAGTAGTTGCATAGAGTAGTAGGGTCCCCAGGGACAGGAGGATCTTACACTGTCACCCTCATTGGTTTCTTGACTCTTGAAAGGACCCAAGCATAACAAGTCTGGTTGATCTGCTCTCCCATTCCTGGGGACGCAGCCCCCAGGATTTGGTCTAGCTTCTTGGTTAGGGCTCTGGGAGGAACTAAGAATCTTATGCCCAAGATCTGGGAAAGGGGAGGAGTTAGAGATTGGGGGAGGATGGAGCCTGAGAATATGGGAATGAATAAGGGGTGACGTCCTAAAGCTAAATCTTGTTAATAAGAGGAAGCTGTCACATAGGTTTCCACAAGCACCCACAAAATAGAGCTGGGATCAGAATGGTCAGGGAACCTCTTCTGAATTAAGAAGTGCCAATCCCACAGAGACAACTGAGCAAGGCAAAGCCCATATTTGCCACAAACCCACTGCCAGGCTGGGGAGTGGGGGGAGGGAGGACGAGAGAGAGACAGAGAGAGAGCCCTTGATTGGGAGACTGCTTTGAAGACAGGAATGAGGAGATGCTCTGAGGAACAGGGACAGACAGGGAGAGCAGAAGCAAGAGGAGGGGGTTCACACTATGAGTCATCGGTGCCTCCTAGAAGAGGAGTGAATAGTGAGGGGACTCAGAGAGGAAGGAGGGGGACCACTCAGCATGAGCCTTTGGACTGCTATGTCATACAGGTGCCCATCCCAAGGAGCTCTGGCACATGCCACTGTCCCAATCCCTCCCAAAGGCCAGTTCTTACGTTAGGAGCCAGCAAAGAGGCAACATCCTAAGGCAGGACCCCCAGTGTCCCATAGCTCTTGGTGGGAGAAAACTAGAGATGAAAGCAACTTTAGAAATCTGGAGCCCCAGTCAGCTGGTATCTGAGTACATGGACCTAAAACAACTATATTTCCTGTTGTAGACATGAGGAGACAGATGGAGACATTCCTTTCCCCCACACCCACACCCATTCCTTCTCCTCAGACTCTCACATAGGATGATAGATTCAGACCTGGAAGGAACCATAAAGAACATCTAGTCCAGTCTCCTCATTTTACAGACAAGGAGACTGAAGTCCAAGGAAGTTTAGTAATTGGACCAAGGCCATAGAGGTGGCAAGCATCAGAAGCAGAATTTGAATCTGGGTCCCCTGCCTCCAGTTCATTCCGCTGTCTTGAGGGGATATTCACTAGGGTTTCCCAGCTCTCTGGGGCTAACTGGGAATCTTTCAATAATATTAGCTAAAGTTTATAGAGTAGTTTAAGGTAGATGCTATTATTATCCCCATTTTACAGATGAGGAAATTGAGGCTGAGAGAAGTATTCTTTTCCTTGTTCAGGATTCCAACTCTAGCCCCATGGAGTTGAGTAATAAAAAACTATACACATACACACACTAGGGGTAGGTTATGGCAGACAGGGCAGAGAACCAGTTTGTAAATCATTTCTTAGTAATGCTTCCAGGGCTGGGTTGGAGACTGGCAGGTGAGAAAGCAATGAGAAAGAAATGAATCTAGAGGAATGGGGGAGGTGGTAATAAATGCCTCACCATATCATTGCTCTTGGGGATGTTTTGGGTTCTCTGTCATCCTGAGTATCTGCTCCACATGTGACTCCCCAGGGTTGGGATACACAGTAGTTGTTTCCTCACTCTCCACCAGCTGCTGTTGTTGTTCAGTGGTATCTGACTCTTTGTAACCCTATTTGGAGTTTTCTTAGCAAAGAGACTGCAGTGGTTTGCCGTTTCCTTCTGCAACTCATTTTACAGATAAGGAAACTGAGGCAAACAGGGTTAAGTGACTTCCCCAAGGTCACATAGCTAGTAAGTATCTGAGACTGGATTTGAACTCAGGTCTTCCTGACTCCAGGCCCAGTACTCTAACCACTGCACCACCTAGCTGCCCTATAAGATGAGAGGGTTGGACTAAATGACCTCTATGATCCCTTATTGTTCTATATCAATCAATGATCCTTCCTGATTAGAGAGGAGAAGGTATTCACAAAATATTCAGCTATACAAATGCACACAGACATGTACATGGATACACCTAGATATACATATATAGACACAGTCCCTCTAGACACACGCACACACACACACACACACACACACACACACACACTCCACACTGGTTAACAATCTTCACACCAGGGGCTGAAGAAACATCTAGAACAATGAGTCAGGTCTGGAGGAGGCCAATAAAATCCTTCTTCTATCTTGGACCTCTCCCAGCTCCCATCTCCTCAGTCACGTGGTTGTGAGTGGTTTGTAGATTTATTAGCCCCCCGTAGTCCAAAGCTGCATGAGGACACACCCATCTCCCACTCTGTCCCCTCAAGGTCCTCATTCTGGCTATATGCCCTCTGGGCTCTCCACCCTCCATAGTTGGTTCTGTGATCCTATGGAGCCCAGATCCCCTTCCCAGTTGGCTGCCTCACCAGAGGAACTCCCCATCTTTCCTCTCTTCTCCTCCTCCCTCCCCCCAAAGGTCTGGTTCCAGAACCGAAGAGCCAAATGGAGGAAACGGGAGAGATACGGGAAGATCCAGGAGGTGAGGAACCCCTTCACAGCCACCTATGACATTTCAGTGCTGCCCAGGACAGACAGCTACCCCCAGGTAAGGTGGAGGACAGAGAGAGTCCCTGGTAACCCTGGGATACACTATAGCCCTGCCCCTCTTCTTCTTCCACCAAAGCCCACCTCCCTCCATTGGGAGTTGGGATCTCAGGGACCCTATATAAGGTTTCAGTACTTCCATGGAGGGGGAGGGGAATGTGTGTCAGAATGTCCTCTTAACTTAATTAGGCATTAAGAAGAAGGAAAGGGAGGAAGAAGAAAAAAAGGGGGGGGAAAGGAAAAGGGAAAGTCAAGGGAAAGCCCCTCTACCAACCAGAAAAAAAATACCAGAACTGGAACAAGGAACCCTAGGCAAAATATTAAAGTTGACTTATCCCTTGTTCATTACTATCTACTAGAGACTTTGAGCTTTCATCATATTATGTAGAATGGACACGAAATTGTTAGCTACATTCCAATGATGGTGGGATTTCTCTGCATTGAAATAAGTGCATTTATATGGGGTCATATTAGAAAGTATCACTCCCCTGTGGACTGGGCTCTACATGGCTGTTCAGCTCACCTGTGTTATTTTCAGCTCTGGAGGAGAAGAAATGTTGAGGCTTTTCTCCCTCCTCTGTACTGGGTAGCTCCATCATCTGCTGGAAGAAAGGGTGGGAGAGCACTCTCCAGGCTTTGTAGTTTTTTTGATTTGAAGGAAGTGGAGATGCTTAAAGCCTGAAGAAAAGATCGGGGGTGGGTAGGGGAAAGGGGACTGGAGGAAATGCTGCCTTCAGGTATTAGAAGAATTGTCCTATGGAGGAGGAATTAGCCATGCCCTGTGTGGCCTCTGGAAGAACCAGCAGCAACCTGTGGAATTTGGAGAGGCAGATATTGGGGTAAAACTTCCTGACAATTAGAGCTGCCCAAAAGTGGAATTGGCAGCCTCGGATACAGCAGGTGGGTCCTCCCCCCTACCCCACCGCTTCCTCGCCTTACTGGAGTTTTGCAGGAAGAATCTGAGTGAGCACTTGTCAGATATGATGGTAGAGGGGCATCATTTTTCCTTGTTGAATACATACAACAACCTTTTTACAGAAAAGGAAACTGAGTCTCAGAGAGATTAAGAAACTTGGCCAGGGCTCTTTCCTACTCTGAGATTCTGTGATTTTGAGCATTCAGTTCCAGCATTGCACCCCCATCCCCATTCTCCGTTTCCATATTTCTACAGAACACTGTCTTTTCTAGGCTAGATTTATAGCGGAGCAGAGAATATGTGAACTAAGAAATAACACACCACGGTAAGGTCATTAGTTGCACATAAATATATTTTTAAAATCACTTCTTCATTCCTAGATTGAGAGACATTCTGGGTTTCTTAAGTATGCTCTAGGGCATCTCCAGTTTCCCATACCATTGGGAAGTTGGGGGAGGGGCAAGAGAAGGTCTCTCTTCTGGCCCCTGAGATAGTGCCCTAAAACACCCTCCCCCCAGCTGATTTGGAGACCGAAGAAAACTAATTTATTCACCAATTCTATCGTCCCCACCTGATTCCCAGCCAGTCATTATTATTGCTTTCATATTTCCCTTCCTACAGCATCACCTGAAAGAATCAGCCATAGAAGCTTTAAAATCAAATCCTTAAATAAAAGTCATCAGGACAGTTCAACCAAACAACACAGAAGACACCCCAAAGTTTATATAAATACACCCTCTCCTACTTCCCACTTTATAGCAGTTCCCCTTCCTAATCCAAGGCACTGGGGCCACGGCATTTTCAGTCGGAATAAATCCCCTCGGTTTTTTTAGAGCCCAGGAGTCCTCAGTCCTCTGTGCTTAGCCCATTGACAATTAGAGCCAAGGAGGCTTCCCTGATTACCCTAGTTGTTAGTATTTTCCCCTCCCCCTCCCCAGTGATCTTTGTAGGTACTTACCTGTTTTTCACATTATATCCCCCCCAAGACAGTTGGTCAACGGGCACCAAAGAAGCTCCTACTATGTACTGGGCTCTATGAAAAGCATTGGGGGAAACTCTCTCTGCTCTTAGGGGACTCACATTCTAAAAGGGGGAGACAACCTACAAAAAACGATGTAAGTACAAGATATCTATGGTGTACCTAAGTTCAGAGGGAGAGGTAGGAAACATTTCTTTCAGAAGGTAGGATTTAAGCTGTCTGGAAGCCAGGAAAACCTGGAGACGAAAGAGAGAAGGGACCCGCGGTGGAATGTTATCTGTTTGAGGTTAGAGACGGTTTTGTTTTTTTGTTTTTACCCTCGTATCCTCAGTGCTTAGACTGGTGCCTTGCCCCTAATAGGTGCTTAATAAATGTTTGTTGAATTGGATATAAAGAGACAGAAGACTTGCCACCCTCACCACACCTTCAGCCTGGCCCAGTCTAGACAAGCCAGGAGTTGGGTACCAACAATTATAATATGACTCATATTTTGTTTTAAGTCTACACGATAGCCTTGTGAGGTTGGTAACGTAGGCATTGTTAGCCCCACTTACAGATGAGGAAACTGAGATTCAGATAGGGGGAAGGATAGTGCTGGCCCTCCTATCCCTTCGACCGGCTCTCTGGTGACCCCTGGACCCAGGTTGAGGTCCTTTTCCTCTCCTGTCTCCCCACCCCACTCCATTCTCATCCCCTCTGAGGTCAGGGTGCAGGAGTGATACTGAAGAGTCCATTCAGACTCCCACCTTGTCTGAGAGCTCCTGGAACCCACTTCTCCTTCCCCAGGCTCTGGCAAGCAGCTTCCCGACAGTATGTGGTCAGGAGCCCACTCACTGGGCTAACCCATTTATATTATGTCCATCCTCATCAAGGCGTAGGGAAACAACACAAGAGTGGGGAGATAAGCCATAAGATAAGAGAGCAAGCCAAGTTGTTGGTCTCTGAGCCTCAGTTTTCTTTGTTTCTAAAAGGAGTTGGGCTAAATGCTTTTTGGAGGCGGAGGATAGGGGGAGGAAAACACTAGATAGCTGGTAGTGAGTGGCCAGGCAGATAGAGGGCCCTACCTCCCTAGGCTCAAATCCTGACTCAGACGCATGGCATCTGCGTGACCCTGGTCAAGTCACTGAATCACACTCTCTGTTTCAATTGTACAATGAGGATGTTGTTGTCATTGTTGTTCAGTTGTGTCCAACTTTTTGAGACCCCTTTTGGGGTTTTCTTGGCAGAGATACTGGAGTGGTTTGCCATTTTCCTTCTCCAGTTGATTGTACAGATGAGGAAACTTAGGCAAACAGGGTGCTGTGACTTGCTGAGGGTCACATAGCTAGTAAGTGTCTGAGCCTGGATTTGAACTCAGGAAGAAGAGTCAGGTCTTCCTGACTCCTGCACCTGCAGCTCTCTTCACTGTGCCACCACCTGGCTCTAATGGCGTCTGCATCGCTGAATTGTTAGGGTCAAATGAGATAGCACCTGTAAAGGGCTTTGTAAACTTTGAAGCTATTTCTGTAAATAAATGCTAGCTATTATTATAATTATAATATTAGATATTAGATGTGGGAACAACTTTCATTGCTTTTGTGCTTCTTCGAAGGCAAATCTATTATTTTCTCTGGGAGGCTCAGAGTGAGAGGGCTCCCACCTGGAAGCAATTAGACATTGTCTTTTTTTTTTTGTTAAGGAAACTTGCATTTAAAACATTTTTTTTGAATTGAATAATATTTTATTGTTTCCTCAGTTATGTGTAAAAACAATTTTTAACATTCATTTCTTTTTAAATTTTGAGTTTCCAAATTTTCTCTGTCCCTTCTTTTTCCTCCCCGCCCCCCCAGATGGGAAGCAATTTGATATAAGTTAGACATGTTCAATCATGCAAAATTTATTACCATATTAGTCAGGACATTACCTTTTGAAGGTGGTGAATGACTTGTTTTTACTCAGCTGCTGTTGTTAATAATAATAGCTAACATTTATACAGTGCCTACTCTGTGCTAAGCAGTTTACAATTATTATCTCCTTCAATCCTCACAGCAACCACGGGAGGAGGGTGAACTTATTATCCCCATTTTACAGATGGGGAAACTGAGGCAAACAGCAGTTAAGTGGCTTGCCCAGGGTCACACACCTAGTGAGTATCTGAGGTCACATTTGAACTCAGGCCTTCCTGACTCCAGGCCCAAACTCTATCCACTTTGTGACCCAGATGCCTAGAAACCTCAGTGTCCTGGTCTGAAGATGTCGTGGACCTGTGATTTCTTTGTTGCGAGAACTTCTTCCGTGATTATAGAGCATAACCCTTCTATAACTTAAGAGATAAATCCTAGAGACTTGCCTCAGACCCAGAGAGGTTAGGTTTTTCAGTCCTACCACAAAGTTGACAAATGTCAGAGGCTGGGTTTGAACTCAGATCCTCCTAACTCCCAGGCTGGCACCCTATTCACTCTCCCCAGATGTCTTTCTCTTGTGTACAAAATGGTGCAAGTGAGGTTTGTTCTACTTTCTCAACAGCATTTGGGGAGGAAGGGGTCGGAGCGGGGTTTGACAGGTGCTTTGGAGACCATGCAGCCTTGTGTCCATATGCGTTTCTATTATCATTTCTCATTGAGCGGGGAGGAGGATCAGTCAGGGTCCAACCTCCAAATATTCTGCCTGTTGCCGTATCATTCCAAAGGTTTGCCAGAATTGCATGGCGGAAGGTGATAGGGAGAAGGCACTTAGAGAATCAGGAGAGAGAGAGAGATGGCATCTGGCCATGGACTGTACTACTAGCTAGCGTGAGACGTCTCTTTCTTCACCGGTAAAATGAAGAACTTGGGGGGAAGCTAGGTGGTGTAGTGGATAGAGCACTGGCCCTGGAGTCAGGAGGACCTGAGTTCAAATCCGGCCTCAGACGCATAACACTCCCTAACTAGCTGTGTGACTCTGGGCAAGTCACTTAACCCCCATTGCCTCACCAGAAAAAAAAAATGAAATTACAGATTAAATAAAATGAAGAACTTGGTCCAGGCCATCTTGAAGGGCTGTGTTAGAGATGAATGCCCTGGCCCTCACTGGGGTTCTCCCTGAGCATCGCTGTGGGCAGTGCCACAGGTGGTGGATGGTGAGGGGCAGAGAGGCCCTTAGCTGTGTTTGGAAAGACCTTAAAGACCGGGGGGATGGCTGCATTTTTGTGTCTCTCCAGAGTCTAGCATGCAGTGTCATGTATTTAAAAGGTTCAACAGATGCCTTACTATGTTCTAAATACTTGGGTGTTGACTTGAAAAGCTAATGCACTGCCTACATGTCATTTCAGCTGCAGAGCAACCTGTGGCCCACTCCCGGGTCGGGGAGCCCGGGAGGCCCCTGTCTGATGTCTCCAGAGGGGATTCCATCCCCATGCACATCTCCGTACTCCCATTCCCATAGCAATGTGGCTGGCTTTATGGGTGTGCCAACCTCCCCGGGACCTCCCCCGGGCATCTATTCCATCCATGGATTCTCCCCCGCTCTGGGGGGGCACAGCTTTGAGACAGCCCCTGATGGTGACTACAAGTCCCCCAGCCTGGTCTCATTGAGGATGAAGTCCAAAGAGCCACCTACCCTCCTCAACTGGACCACGTGATCAGGCCACCCCAAGACTGGACTGCTCCCTCCTTGGACTGCCCTAAAGATCTTCCTCATCAGATGCAGCCAATACTTCCTTTTAATCTAACCCCCACCCCCAACCCCCATATACAGGAGAGGGATAATTTATGTCTTTATTAATTTCCAGACACCAGAGAGGGCACACCACCTACCCCTGGTCTGCCACTCCTTCACCCACCCTACTCCTCCAGAGAGGTCCAACTCTCTAGATAGAGAGAACAACTGTGCCCACCCCAAGTCTAGCAGCAAACAGACTGGAGTTTCCTTCCTTCTTTTCTTTCCTTCTTTCCTTCCTTCCTTCTTCCTTCCCTTCTTTATTTCCTTCCTCTTTTCCTCCCTCCTTCCTTTTCTCCTTCCTTCCTTTCCTTTTTTTTTTTTTTGGTTGCTTTTTCTTTCTTTCTCAGGTAGCTCCAAAGAGAGGATAGGAGTTTTCCACCTGTCTGGGAATATTAATAGGTTCCTGGTCCTCTTGCCCCTTTTTCTAGACTGCTCCCCATCTTCCCAGTTCTGGGGGACATGCAGGAAACAACTGCTCCCCCTCCTCTGAGGCTTTGCATCATTCAACCTGCAGCCTCCCCGATGCAGGAAGTCCTGGCTCCAGGTAAGGGTGGGGCCCCAGGTAGATGAGGTAAGAGCTGGGTTGGCGAATGCTATAGAATATTAAGAATTTCCTCCATCAAAAATGAGGAACAAGAGGAAGGGGAGGAGCTGCTGAGCTCCAGTTGAGGGATAGCATTAAAAGAATAAGACAGTAGGCGGCCAGGCTAGCACCATGGTCCATCCAACTGTGCCAGGGACCATATCAATAATCCTAAGTATTTCCATGCCCTTTACAGCTTTCTGAGTGATTTCACATACTTTCTCCTGAGTGGCCCTCAGACCCGTAGTCAGCAGTAGGAAGGGTGCTCTGCTCAAACAGGTGGACCTGCTCCATGTTTTCTGATGGCAGCACAAAGCTTTAAGGCTGGAAGGCACCATAGAGGTCCTTAAGTACAATCCTTGGTTTTACAGATGAGGAAAAAGAGGCTTAAACGAAGAAGGTTAAATGACTTGCCCATGGTTGCCCCGGTAATAAGGGACCGAGTTAGGATTTGAACCCAGATCCTCTCTAGGTCTTTTCATTATACCACTCTGTTGAGGATGGGCATAACCATTTTCCAACCTCAAAAGGTTTCTTATGCCCATTCTCAGTCAACAGCAGGAGAAGGGGCAGTAAGGAGGAACCTGTGAAATGAGATGGGACAGCATAGAGGTTGGATAGGTGTGGGGAGGCAGCTGAGATGATTACTGATGAGGCTTAATGGCATGATCCATTAATAATTAATTAATTAATAATCCTTAATGGCATAAGGTCCAAATCCTTAGTTGATAGAGTGGGAACCACAGCCTAAAAATCTTCAAGGATGAAGAAAAGAATTTCATGATGTTGAGTTTTCCTTACCCCCGCTCTCAAAGTTCTGCTCCCTCCCAGAGGAATAGATGCGGCATTTGGGGAGGCTTTTCCTCCAGGCCCTACATCCCTCCATGCCTGAGCCCACTTTCCCCATCAGTCTGTGGAATCATCTCCCGGCTCCCCAAGGAACTGAAATTCCAAAGTAAATCACCAAATATGGCAGTTTTGGTGAGCCCTCCCATGGTTTAGCCATCACAGAGCTGTGCCCGGCTGTTGCCATGGGAACACCAATAGTTCCCAAACCCCCTCCTCCCAAACCCTGGAACCATTGGTTGGATCCTCAGTAAAGAAGATCTGTGACCCAATTCTTCCATGGTCTCTCCATCAGGGGACACCAAATAAATGTTGATCCCATGATATTCTAACCACTCTTATTTTGTAAAAGAAAAAAAAATACATCTGCAAAAATCTTGTCATTTGTCATAAACAATAAAGGGCTTTCTTTTTTTCCTTTGTTTTTTTTTAAGAGAGGACTGATGTCTGATGCCTTCAGGCTAAGTCCTTGGTTGTTTCCAATCTAGCATGGGATGTCAGGATGTCATCACCTGGGAAGCAGAGGCCCTTTGCTTGTCCCTCTATCCCATGCAAAATGTTATCTGTACCCTCTCCCCCAGTGGGACCATGAAGCCAGAGTATTGGAGTATTGGAACTTAAAGAGACTATCTAATCTGGGCCTCTTGTTTTATAGATGAGGGAAGATTCTCAGGAAGATGACACACTTTGCTCCAGGTCCCACGGCTAGTAGAGAGTGGAGTTGCGAATAGAGTCAAGGCCTCCTGACTAGCCCCTAATCACATTCTGACAGTCTTTTCCCCAGACACACGCATATTCCTCAGCTCTTCTTTCAGATAATCCCGGACTAGGCACCAACGTCTTGCTCCAAAGAGGGCCAGGATTAGTACTCCCACTCCTGGGAGAAGGGAAGGGCTTCATGGAGGGACTGTGAGGTAGTGGATAAAGTGCCAGACTTGGAGTAGGGAAATTGTTGTGTTCAGTCCTTTTCAGTCATGTCCCCATTCCCCATTCGTGACCCCATCAGAGGTTCTCTTGGTAGAGATATTGGAGTGGTTTGCCATTTCCTACTCCAGCTCATTCTACAGAGGAGGAAACTGAGGCAAACAGGGCTAAGTGACTTGCCCAGGGTCACACAGCTAGGAAGTGCTTGAGTACAGATTTGAACTCAGGTCTTTCTGACTCCAGGCCTGGCGCTCCATCCACTGTGCCACCTAGCTGCCTCAGACCTGAGTTCAAATTCTGCCTCAGACATGTACTAGCAGCGTAACCTAGGACAAGTGACAACTTCTCCATCCTTTGGTTTTCTTATCTATAAACTGAGGATGTTAGACTCAGTGGCACCTAAGGTCCTTTTCAGTTCTAAATCTATGATCCTGTGGTTACCGACCTTGCTGATCTATTTCCTTAGCCACTTCTTGGACCCTGCTTACTGTCTTAGGAAAAGCCAGAAGGGGAGAAGGGGAGAGTCGGGAGTGGAGGCCATAAATGGATGAATAAATTTTTGTGGACTAACCAGAGTTGTCATTAGGTGGAGTGTCCAGTTGTGCCCATCTGGCTGGGTGCCTTGGCCCCGAGTCCCGTTAGCCATTAATGGCTGAGCAGGGATGAATACTTCGGCCTCGAGTCCTTTAAATAAAGGACTTTCCTGTGAAAGAGGAAATAATTTGTTCGGCTTGGCCTTAGCCGTCAGAACCAGAAGCAGTGAATAGAAATTTCATTTGTGACGAGGAAAAACTTCCTAACAATTCGGGCTGTCCAAAAGTGGAATGGGGCTGCCTCCCTAGAAATTGAGTTCCCCACCTTTGGAGGTTGTTTGGAGGGATGTTATCTATTTCAACTCCCTCATTTGACAGATAAGGAAACTGAGGCCCAGAAAGCATGAGCAACTGACCCAAGGCCACACAGGTAGAGCCAGAATTCAAACAAAACCCAGTCCTCTGATTCCAGATTCAGCATTCGCTAAGGGATATTGGGAAGGAAGGTGTGTGCATGTGGGGAGGGGTGGGGAGGGTTTCCTGCCATGCATGGGATGAGAGAGCAGTTGGTTGTTTCCTGCTCCCAGACAGCCCTAAGTCTCAGCCTGTCTGAGACTCCTCCAAGCCTCTTGAGCTGTGGGGCATCGACAAAAGCCAGGGCTCTTCTTTGTGGTTTCTGGGTATTAACCATTAAATCCTCTGCCTTATCTCTTCAGGCGAGGGAAATGCAGACTCCTGCATCCTGCACCCCTGCGGTAAACACAAGCACATTGCTCAGAAAATCTCAGCTTCCCCCTCCTCGACACCCCCTCCCTAACTCCTCATCTTTCAGGCCTGGAGAAACCCAATGGCACAAAGCCCCACAGTCCAATTTTTATCCCCTGTCAGGTCCTGGAGAGAAATCAGTGCATATTGGGAGGCAGATCAGATTTCCTGCCCAAGACCTTCCTGTTGAGGAGACAGTAACAGGACCCAGGCATCCCCAGCCTTGCCCCCACTCTTGATCTCTGGAAGAAACTGGCATTTCCTGCCCCTCCTCCCCTTACTATTCTCTTTCCTCTTCTGGCTCCAGGAATCAGAGTGCCAAAATTCCGGATGGGAACGCCTTATCAATCTTGAAGTTGTCTTGGGGTTAGGGAGCTGGGCAGAGAGTGTGTGCGAGGGGCTGATGGCTTAGGTCATGGGAAGTGTCTGAAACCACTTGAGAAATGTGCCGTATGGCCCTAAAGAACGTGGGTTCTGGGGGTTAGCAGGAAGGCCTTCTACATCTTGCTCGGTAACTTCATTCTGAGGCATTGTGGACCGAGCAGAAAACGCCGGAATGGACATCAGGGCCTTCTGGCAAATCCCGGCTGACTTGATTCGGTGGATTGAAATCAGCTGCCTCCTGCAGAGCTATTACTCCCAACTCCCACTCCCCTCCAGGCTTTAACTCGGAGGGAGGTGACAGTGGGGGACTGGAGACAAAGACCTTCCATAATCTGCCTGAGAGGGATGGTTAAGAGGCCTTGGAAGCCCTTGGAGCCATTTCCCACCTCTCCCAGTCACCAAAAGTATAAAAGCATTCCTTGGAGCACAGAAAAAGTAAGCCCCTATATAAGCAAGGTTGAAGCAGGGCCCAGATAAGGCAAAGGGGACCCTTCATATACCACCTTCTCCAGTGCTGAAGACCTGAACTCACCTTCCCTCAATGTGTTAATCCCCTCTGACTCTAGGGGCTTCATTCCTGGGACCCCCGAGTGTTTACATGAGGCCAGGAGACTCGTAGTCCTGATCTGTCCAATTCCATTAAACTGGATTCCATGCAACATTTACTTGATTCCTACCTAAACAGCAAGTGCCTGTGCTTTAATTCATTTTTAGCAGGAAGAAAAAGCATGAATGAGGACAGTCCCCAGTGTCTTCCGCTAGAATCTCTCCCCCATTCGGGAAGCCGCCAACGGTGGCGTGCCTGTGGGCCTGGCACTCCTCACAAGCCAGAGAAAGAGAGGGAGACAGAGATGGACAAACAGAGAGATAGACACATTCGGCAGGATATGTTGTGTTCAGAAGCCGGTATCTCAGAGAGGCGATGGGGCTGGGAGCTGGGGTGGAGCCCGGGGGCAACAAAGAGCTGGAAAGGAAGCAGGAGGTGGAGAAGGCAGAGAGAACGGGAGACAGAGAAGTGACAGGTAGAGAGAGAACAAGATGGAGATGGTGGGGAGGGCAGGGAGGCCAGGAACTAGCTACTGGCTCCAGTCCAGGGGAGATCTGCCCACAGCTCATATTTTTTGTCCGGTGACAGCTAAATGAACAGAAAGCTAACTTCACAATCACCGGCTTCACACGTAATGAATATGAATAGACATCCGCAGAGCTCGCTTCTCAGGCTTA